GCCAGTCGTTCGTGAAGCCTCGGCCATGGACTGAACGGAAGCTTGGTCTGATGAGACTGCGTTCTGCATAGCAGCAACAGCCGCCATGTTGGACTTGGGGTCAAAATCGTTGAATTTGCTGACGGCGGTTGCGACTTCGTTTGCTACCATCGAGGGGATAACACCCATGGTCAGGACTGTGACATGAGACTGGATGTTCTGCTGACTGAGGAGATTCTTTACGTTGCTGGCGAAATTGGAGTCAACGCCGACTTTGCCTTCTGCCTTGGCGAACCAAGCACCAACATTCATCGTCGACTGCATCTGCGAAGCAGCAGCCTCCATGGAATCTGAAGCAGACGAAGACGTCGTGTTAAGCACATGGACCATGCCAACGAAACTCGATCCAAAAGTGACGCCTGAGATGATAGAGAACTTTTCCTTGTCTTCCTGGCTCTCGTTCATGGCGCATTTCATCATGCTTGGTCCACTGGTGGGATCCAGCTTGCTGCCAGGGAAGAGATGGTTCCAGACTTTGATAGCCTTGTCGACGTGTAGCACGAAAGGTGCTACAATAGAAGCATTCTTGTGCGTGCAACTCACAGATAGAACGAGAGTTCCCTCGATACTGTGTGAGCTGACCTGACGGCTGACTTGTCGAGAAGCCGCGTTTCCGATCTTCATCGACTGCTTCGCCCCAAAAACACTACTAACAGCCCCAGAAACATACGACGCAATCTGAGCGCTATACGTAGCAGAGTTCTGTGAGTTCGAATCAAAGGAAAAGTACTGAACATCCATGTTCATCGTATCATTCGCCAGCGCCATATTCCTAATCTCACTGCGCATATAATCAACCGGACTCTCAATCTGCTTATGAACAGAGTGGATATCCTTTCTTATAGCAGTGATTTGAGGTTCAGCTGCCATTTTAGCAGTGGCGTAAGCGCCCGCTGCCGCTTCGACTGCGACGTTGAGTTTCTTGAGCTCTTCGTCGAGAGCGTCGGTGCCGACGCCGAGGTTTTTGAGCTCGGTCTTTGTCATGGTGAGACTGCGTTTTGAGGAGATGAGGGAGTTGAGAGCGTCTTGGGCGGCGTCGACGGGGGCTTGCAGTGCGGCGATTGCCTCGACGCTTCTGAGGGCGTCTTGGTTTACGACGCTCATGAGAGTGAGGCTTGAGTCGTAGGGAATAGAAGTAGGCATGGTGATTGGGTATCTGAGTTGACGTGAAGTGGATTGAGTATGTTTGTTTCACGAAGCTTGATAAGTTTGAAAATGTCTGAGAGAGAAAGAAGTGGGAAATGTATGTTGATCCTGGTAAGAGCTTTGTATAATCCAACGTTTCATGTGCTCTACAGCTTTGCAGGAGCTTTGGCTGGGCAATCAGCGGGCAGCTACATAGTTGCCATGTGCCAAACGTCCCGCGAGAGCTTGAAGCAGGCCCAAGCTCTAAGCTCATAAAAGTTAGTCAAATTAGGACCATGTAATGGAACCGACTGAAAACGTCAACGAATGCTGCGGCTGATGGTATTGGCATGTATTCTCGGCTCGTGGCCGCCGGGAATGTCATCCAGCGTTTAATTGAGCTTGCAATGTCTTTGTAAGCTCCGCCACGATACAATAGGTCTTAAACACATTCAAGTCTATCAGAGGTCGTAAAGCTAATTAGCAAGCAGATTTTCTCGGCAGCGATTCCGTAGAGTGGTTTGAATCCCATTCCAGCTGGCTGGCTAAGAGCTTGCAGCTCGAAGCTGGCTGACATTCGTTAGACTAGGGTCCCCAAACTCAATTCACGGAGCTTGCATACCCTGTCACAAGGTAGCTTCAGCTTAGAGCTTTGTTGAATATCTTCATCCAGACCAACACGACTGATAGAGTTGCCAAGATGTCTTGTCACATTCGTCGTTGGTGAAGGTAACGAGAAGTGAGAATGCAGCGAAAGCTTCATCTTCACAGAGCTAACTTCACAGAACGACAAACTTCCTCTTCCGGACTTCAAAGAAATTTAGGGGCAAGTAATGAGCTACTGCTTCTGTTCTGCTCCGTGCCTTTGCGTCTGTATTGTTCTCCAGCTTTCTCCAACTCCGGCAAAGCGTCTCCAGCCGCGAGACTGCAAACGCGGAACTAACTCCTTCAGCGCGCCCAAAGATACCCAGGAGACTTGGCTGACGCTAGTTGAATCATGCTATATATGGTAGTGAGCACGTTGGGACTGTGGTAGCCATAAGTACAAAGTTCTATCACATCGTCATGTCTTACCAAGAAGCAGTTGATGAACTTGAGTATTCTCACATTCAAGAGCCAACTATCCCAGAATACGAGCAACAGATTACTCCTACTGAAAGTCCAAGTGTACAAACTTCCAAGATTATCCCTAAGTTCTCTGTACTGATTTAAGCTCTCAGCCAACCAAGATTATCCCAATGCCTGTCCAGTCGAAAGTTGCGCTCAATGCGCCAGACCGTCTACTCTTCAGGTTGAACGAGTAAGTCAAACCAGAAGCCAAGTAGATCAACCTCTGACTCTCCTAGACTTATGAAACCTACCAAAGATCTTGGCTCTGTCCTTACAACCTTCAACTATGGCCTCTACCTCTTGGCTTACTTCGACTCCAAAGCCTACAATCTCAAGTCCAAAGCCCTTTCATTCGTCAGACCAGAAACTGCTTTTACCGCCCTTCCTGGAGCCGCTGAAGCAGAATCCTCTCCCTTTGCCAGATTGGGCTCTGTCGTTGCGAATGCCAGACTGACCCTTAGACTCTTCGGCCTGCTCCCTATTTACGTACGGGTCAGGACGTTGATTAGAGAAGGTAAGAGTATGGACCCCGTACTCTATATCATCTCTTTCATCCAATGCTCCCTCTTTGCGACGTTCCAGCTCCTTGAGAATATCGCATTTCTCACAGAGAAAGGTGTCTTGATGAGATGTGGTCTGGGATGGCTTTTCAACGGCACAGGTGGACGTGTAGCAAACATGTACAGGGTCGCTCACAGAGCCTGGTTCTTGGGCATCATCTGCGATTTCGCTCGTCTTATGCGCGAGGCCCAGATATTCTTCACCAAGAACCATCTTGAGAAGGGTGAGATCACGCGAGAAGAAGCTGAGAAGGCAGTGCAGTGGTACTATGATTGGATTCGTCCTCTAGCTTGGCTACCTATCGGTTGGCATCTCTCAGGATGGATGGGAGATAAAACACCGGGTTTCAACTTAGGAATTCAAGGGGCAGCGGGTGTTTTGGCTGATCTTAGAAGGACGGCTATGCTCTGGCACGCAACTCAAGAGGCGTGACACTACTTAAATCTATGGTAATATGGATAACGGAGTGACTTGAGAATCAGGACTATCAGGTTACGCTTTGGTATTTATGAGCAAATCTTTAATCTACACCTTCATTAGTATCACCGTTTCGAAGCTGCGAGAATTCCAAGTTTTATGTTCCTGAAAGGGGGAATTCTGATTATGCTTCTTGATTCCTCAAATCTTCTGTTGACGATGATGTTTATGTATCATCGAGTATGTTGATGTAGAAAACGCCGAAAAGACGTTAAACTTAACATGGGTTCTAAAGTGGACCTAGCAGAGATTTGAGCTGCGAAATTGAGGCGTGAGGGCAAAGAGTATATTGCCCATATGTGTTAATCTGTGTTTTTGTACCTCTGTGTTGGGGCTGAAGCTTCCTTTTACCCCTCAACCTTGACACCTTATCACAGTAGAATAATGCCAGCACAATATTGAATCAATGATCGTGAGACTTCTATTTTTTTTGAGGCCATGTACATGTTGGCTTCCACGATACTGCAATAACTACTAAATAAGGATCGGCTACAATCTGTCTCCATTTCTCTTCAATCTACCCAAGCCAGGAGAGTTAACAGATAAGCTTATATTTTCGGATCATCTACTTGGCTGATTGCTGGCCATAAGGTTAAACCTTAGGCTGATAACACAGATAATGAGGACGCGATAACTCTCGGATCATGATTCATCGCAAAGCTCTCAAGTGCAAATAAGTCTTGGATCATTGGGCCGATTTCAAGTTCAAAAGCCCATGTGTCCTTAAGATTCCAAGTATTAAAGGGCCCCATTTACACTTCAGTCAAAGTTCATTACTCAAAATATCACTCTTCCATCCACACACCTTATACCCAAACCCAATCCCCCTTTCTTCAAACTAAACGTGCAGCTCTCCAAGCTCACCATCTTGATCTTCACTGCTCTTCTCTCTTCAGGAGAAGCATGCAAATGCCTCGGCAACGACGAAAAACCCGACACTGGAAAAACTCGCGAGTGCTGCAAGAAGTCTAAAGGTGACTTCCTCTTTTCCGAAAGCACATGCTACCATCACCTCAAAGAAACTAGCGCAGAACTGGCAGGCAAAATCCACAAAAAACTTGACAAATTTGATAAATGCTGCGAGGGCCGAGGTTCCGACTGTGCTCGTCCTGGTAGCGTGGGTTCATAATAATGCGACCAAGAATGTTACTGCAAATTAAATCGTGAGTCTTGTTGAGGTCAAGGTTACTGTGGTTCGCTGTTTTATTGTTATGTGCTCTGCTTACTGGCATCTTTCCTAGAGGCCATGTACGATGGGGAGATGCAACGAGTGGTAGACATGAGGGAATGGAATCATTAGGAAAGGGGAGTCAGGGTCACGGGCCGAGATACGTCTATGACAACAGGAAGTCTGTTTAGCCCGAGAGCCAAATAATAATTTTTTTAATGAGATTCAATGACGTTATAGTGTCTAAGTTGTGAGTCAGATGTGTTGATTTGGGTATGAGCTTATGTTCACAACTTAGAGACTCAATGACTATGAGGCTGCTTTGTAATTTGTGGCTGGCCATCAGAACCCTAAAACAAGAACAGCCGCCGAGTTTGCGGCCAGCTTAACTTTAGCATTGCCTTGCCTGTCAAGATTAACTAATTCTCACCTTATGAATTACAATAAGACTACAATATGAAAAAAGAAAATTATCGACTCTAGATAAGTCCTTAAATATATCTTTCTCCGTCTTCCATCACGGCTACGCCGGGAATCGAACCCAGAATCTTCCGATCCACTCTCGGACGCCTTGCCATTGGGCCACGCAACCTGCATTCCACCTCTCGCGAGCGAAAATTCGACGCGACTGCTCCCGAATGGCGAGACAGCCAATCAGTGCCGATCCTTCCGAAGGATTCAAAATCCTGTGCCTTTCCAGTTGAGATCTTGGGAATGATATTGGATGATTCGTGCGACAAGGAGGGTAAGCAGCGGGGTTGCAAGCGTAGTGCTTATTCGTGTGACTTCTCACATCAACTAAGTCCGAGTCCGAAGGTATTGGAATAAGTATAAAGAGAGATAATGCCTCGTCTTTTATTTTGAACGACTCGCATTGGATGATATCAGTGTCGACTTCGTGATTTAAGTATGGCTTCAATCCAGAACCCTGTTCGCATTGCTATGCGTGATAAGCACTACAATGAACGCTCCGAAATTCAGAATGCAGCAATGAAAGCTGGCCTTGACTTGATCCCCAGCTTTTCAGACAGTAAGCAAGATCCTCATGGTCTTTTCATGCTGGCCAATCCGATGCTAATTTTTAGTAGGAGACAATCTGGTTGTCGTTGATTATGGAACCGCTCAAGGCGCCAACTCGTAAGCCTGAAGCCCCAACTTTACACTTCCTTGCTGACGCTCTCAAGCATCGAACCTGTGAAGAAGGCCATCTCAACCTTGCCAGATGGCGCCATCGCTTCTCTCATCTTCGAAGATACCCCATTCAACGACTTTGGAACCTTGGCAAAGACTGTCTCGGACAACTTTACCAACCAAGACAGCAAGATTCAGATCGTTCCAAGTCTTGTTCCACTGGGATTCTATCAGCAGGTCGTCCCAACGGGCCAAGCCGACATTGGATTCTCCTGGTCTTCTTTCAATTACCTCGAGAATATTCCTTCTGTTAGTCTCGATGCAACAGCATCGCCAGCTGAATTCGCAGTTGCCCGCCACAAGGCTCTCGCTGCAGCAGCACATACAGACCTCATCAAGCTACTGAAGCTTAGGGCAAAGGAGACCCGGGGCGGAGGATACTTCATTGCTGCTATTGGAGGGCAAGCACCTGAAGGGGAGAGTACGCCTTCGAAGCCAGGCTCTCAAGTCCTTCAAGCTGGGTTGATGCGCATGGTTGGAGAGGGCAAGCTTTCTTTGCCTGAGCTGATGCAGATGGCTCTTTTCCCAAGTCACGAGCGTACTCCCAAAGAAGTTGAGGCCGCTTTGAACGATGAGGCTGTCGCACCGCTATGGGAGGTGGAATCAATAGAGCCGAAGCTAATTGTCCAGCCAGCCTGGCAGGTTTACCAGGACAAGATCAAGGCCGACGAGAGCAAGAAAGACGAAGCTCTAAAGGAATATGCTCGAGTTGCCATTAATAACGTGGTGTCAGCTTCAGGCTGGTTCTGGGTCGACGTCCTGAAGAGGTCACGAGGCCAAGACTGGGATGGAGGCGACGTATTTCTCGAAGAATTCATCAATATCACCGTTGACGAATTTATTACAAAGTTTGCGGACTTCAAGTTGGAGATATGGTATAACTATGTCAAGCTTAAGAGAACTGATAAGAAGTTCTAGAGCTATTTGGGTGATAGGGTAGCATTGGATAGGAAACTCCATGGAGTTCTCGGAGTGGATGGCATCATGTCATATTGAGCATGTCGATTAGTCAGATTGAACTCCACGGATTTCCATCATCTCCAGACATATATGATCCTTCATCTTAATACAGCATTTGCAATTATTTCAACGCTATCAATTCACTTCTTCGTCATCAGAATAAAATACGAGGTTCAACATGACGCAAATCGGAATTTTCCCCGCTTCTGGAGCCCTTGGCACCAGCACGTACACCCACCTTCTATCTCAAGTCCCGAACGACAAAGTCACGCTCATCAACCGATACCCAGAAAAAGTTCCCAAGAAATACGTGGGAAATGGAACTATCGTTCGTCAGGCTTCTTACGAGTCTAGCGCTGGAGAGCTCGAGGCTGCCTTTGAAGGGATCGATGTCCTATTCTTGATCTCGTATCCTAGCCACGTTCACGAGTATAGGACTAAGGTACATACTAAAGCACTTGATGCAGCGGTTAAAGCTGGAGTGAAGCATATTTTCTACTCGTCGCTTGGGTTTGCGTCGATTGGTGAGAGTATTACCAAGGCTGAAGTCATGGGTGCTCATCTCGACAGTGAGGCGCATCTGCGAAAGATCGCGACTGCCAATAATGGGATTACGTGGACTAGTATCCGAGAAGGACTTTACAGCGAGTCATTTCCCATCTACACATCTTTCCTCGACCTGAAGAACCCCACGCCCAAGGTTCTCATCCCGCACGATGGAAGTGGACCTGGTGTTAGCTGGGTCAAGAGAGATGAACTCGGAGAAGCGACTGCACGTCTCATCGCTTCATACGCGAAATCACCCTCGTCATTCAAATACACCAACCACATCGTCACTTTAACCGGTCCCAAATCCTGGACATTGGCAGAGACCGTCGAAGTCCTATCACGCGCCGCAGGAAAAAAGTTCCAGATCCAAGAAATCGGCGTAGACGAGTATATCAACCTCCCTCAAATAAAAGAATATTTCGGAACCGAGGAAAAGGCGAGGACGTGGGCTACAGCATGGGACGCCATCCGCGCTGGAGAAACAGCTGGTGTAACAGACACAATGAAAGAGATTTTGGGAAGGGAGCCTGAGGATTTTGAAAAGACTATTGAGGAATTGGCCAAGAATCAGCGGTCAGGTTAGAATTTCGGTGTTTGTTAAGGCTGAACGGTGAAGATACGAGGAGGGAAACTTTGGTGCAATGGTGAATACAATGCATGATGGTTCTATTTTTAAACTGTGGATAGGCTCTGTGTGACGTGGTCAACAAATAGATCAGCGCCTCATTTGGATTAAAGTTTAACGATGAAATGAATTCATGCGACGCTGTTATACCACCCGCGAAATGCATTCTAGAAACTCTCTCAGGAATTGAAGAAATATCTCAGCTGAATTACATAGCAATGCAATGAGGTAAATGATCCTTCATCCGCTTCCGTTCCGTTAGCCGTAGTGGATCTTGCATAGATCTCGGCCTACGTCAGTGGGTATTAATAGCCCATCGCAGCATCTGGTTTGTTCTGTTATTTGATGCAGGGATATTCTGCTGGCACGTTACTGGCGATCCTCGGCACATATGCCGTTCTTTACGAGATGGAAACCCATCATGTGTTCTCGATCTCGTATCGGGGAGGCAGTGAAGTGGCGAGGTTTTTTTCAGCTAGCCTCAGAGAAGCATGATCCTAAGTAAGGTGACAAAAATAAGCTGGTCTAAAGATCTAAATTTACCTAAGGCTTTTTGTCATTTAGACTATCCGTAGAGGCCTAAGATTTCTTGCTTCCCCAGGACGGAAGAATTTCTATGTGAAACACTCCGAAAGACCCGACAGTTTGTAATTGGATGTAACGGTACGGTGACATTAAAGGGAGAAGTTCCCTACAGGGGTTATCCCCTTCCATTGAAATGATGTCAATAACTGCCGTTGCACTCCTCATTCGTCAAAAGATCAACCGATGATCCCTTGGGACCTCGTATTCACATTTATATAAGTCCTTCACCACCACCTACCTTCCTCACCCCAATCCAATCCAAACATCAAACCAAACATCCATCAAAATGCAGTTCAAGACTCTCTTCGCCGCCTCCCTCCTCGGCCTCGCCGCCGCTGCCCCTACAGAGGAGTGCACAAAGACCGGCCCCGCCAAGTCCGGCAACTCTCCCGCCCCCAAGACCTTCGGCCTCGTCGCTCTGCGATCCGCCAGCCCCATCCACTTCACGCACTTCAGCGCTTCCGAGAACGGCTTTTTGCTCGGTCTTCCCAAGGATAAGCAGAACGCTACCTGCAGTGGCAAGTCTGATGGATCAGCTGTCTTCCGTCTGAGCGAGGGTGAATTGTTCCTCTACAACACTGGAAAGAAGCAGCAGCGCGCTTACACCGATCGCTCCGGAATGGGTAAGTTCTGACCTCTCGCTCATCAATTGAATTGTCATTAATATGGTATAGGCCAAGGTGTTCTTCAGTATGCCACCGTTACCGATCAGAAGCTTCCCGAGCAGTTCGAGACAAAGGGTTGGAAGATCGACAAGTCTGGAAACCTTAACTTTGCCGATGCTAGCGGCTTCACTGCGTGCCCCAACGGCCCCGATGGTTCTTGGGCCGTTTGGGTTGCTACTGGTAACTCTCGCCCTGGATACAGCGAGAAGGAGTGTCTTGGCTTCAACGCCCGTGTTGCTGAGATTGAGCACCCTACTAGCTGCTTTTACTCCGAGTACTCTGGTTAAACCAAGGCTTGGATGATTTATGTATATAGTTTTAGAGCGTATGCCTTTCTTGTAGACTGATAAGATCATTTTATTGCTTACCCTACATCTTCATGCAAATGCCAAGTCATCTCCATTTTTTTGGGGTTAAACCGGATCACCGGACTCTTAAACTTCCGCTACCACATGTGACCTAATGCCGAGGCTTTACCGATCTTATCTGATCATTTATTTGATCTGATAAACCCTCAATTTTAACCCTTGTTTCTCATCCATTTCTCTCGCTAGCCTATCTGCGGCGCCATGAAATTTGCAGTCTCTCTGGGCACGCTGCTCATCAACCTCTCACTATGGACGCTTTCCCTTGCAGCAGAGGACCGATCTCCTGAGAGAGTATGCTACGACGCGTGTTTCGCCTGCCTAAAGCCCGTGCATTTCGACGACGTGCTGCGGAACCAAACGGGTTTTACCAAAACCTGCTACAGCCCCAAAGCAATATTATCACTGTACTTATGTCTTGATGTCTATTGCACGCCCGGAGCGAGAGAGGTGGGGTTAGGGTCGTATAACGAGACGTGTAGGGAGAAGGCGCATATTGTTTTACCGCCGTTTGACGTGATTTCAAATTACACGGTTGAAGGGGTGAGGAGGTTTGAGCAGAATGAGACGGATGAGGGGGGTTTGTTCAGAGAGGTTGTCGTGCCTTCTGAGCATTGGTTTGGGATCTGGTGGGATACTTTGGTAGGTAACT